TGCCTTGATTTGTCATTAGATATCATGCCTATAAGGATTCAAGAGTCCGCTTTTAAAAACCTGCCTTGTTTCACTATATAAAATGGTCATTTGTATTCCGCGTCTAGGCAAGCCTTAGGCAATCAACTTTAAATAAAACCAGAACCGTCTTTGTGATTAGTGTTTAACTGTCAATGTCTTAAAATCAGTAGGCAAGCCTGATTCGGACTTCTTTTCTGAGTCATGTAATTAATCTGGTCCCACTGTTATCACTTAAATACCTTGTTAGGATCTGAATTTAGACCTTAATTGCGTATGAGTCGTGTTGCCTATGTGCATTAGTTGTGGAGGTATATCTGAGCCTTCTATCTGATTTCTGCATTTTACCCCCTAAATGTAGTCCTATGTGTTTTTTATTTGTCGCCTAGTATTTTGCCCTTTAAACCTGAGGGTCTGCCTAGAACCCCCCCCCCTCCCCCTTTTTATAGGATAGGAGTCCTAAATTCCTCCGGGACTAATAGGAATGGACGGGTAACAGCATGCAATAGGGGTCGAGACCAACCCTCGCTTTAATTACCGTCACGGGACGGGAAAGGGTAGATATGGATATGATGACCGGTGCGCTAATGCCACGCGTAGCCCCTTTTTAAGGAGTGATTACCGGGCATTATACTGATGTGATCCTATAGGCTAACCAACCTAGGACACTCCTTTACATTCACAAATAGCTTAGATTGTACTTCTTTTCATTAACTGTTTTTTTTCAAGCATCTGTGTATTTAAACTTAAATGCCCTACTATTTGAGCCATACTTGTTTATTTGCTAATTGTACAAATTCACACAAAAACTGTCTGACCGGGAACCACACTAGTGGATCCTGAGGGGTGCCTAACACCTTCCCCTTATGATAATTTCAAGCCCTCACCCTGTCTCTGGTTATCAAACGTAGTTATAAATGAACCCTATAGGTGCCCTAACGCACCTTAAATCGTTAGGTGGCGACTCTTCAAAAATGTAAACCCCTTTCCCAAAAGGAACGAGTTGTCTCAACCAAAATGTCATAAACCCGATTTCGCGAGAAAAAGGGGGCGCGACAGGGCTCCCAACCAAACACCCGCACAAGTCTAAAAACATAACACGGACTTGCTCGAACCCTCAAATCACATCAAACAACGCCAAAATCATGAATCACACTCCAATTCAAGCTTCATGAACTTTAAGATTTCAAACTTCTACTTTCGATGTTTAATCCTATCAAATCACGTCCGATTGACCTCAAATTTTGCACACAAGTCATATTCGACATTACGGACCTACTCCAACTTCCGGAATCGGAATCCGACCCCGATATCAAAAAGTCCACTTCCGGTCAAACTCCTCAAAGACCATCAAATTTCTTTCTTTAGCCAAACGACTCCAAAATGACCCACAGACCTCCGAATTCACTTCCGATCGCGCTCCCAACACCAGAATCACCATACGGAGCTATTCCCAGACTCGAAATCCCAAATGGACATTGTTAACACTGAGATGCACTTCAACCCAAACTTATGAAATTCTTCCAAAATGCTAACTTCCACAACAGGTGTCGAAACGTTCCCGGGTCTTCCAAAACCCGATCCGGACATATGCCCAAGTCCGAAATCATCATACGAACCTCTTAGAACCTTCGAATCCCGATTCCTAGGTCGTTTACTTAAAAATCCAATCTTAGTCAATTCCTTCAACTTAAAGCTTTCGAAATGAGAATTCTCTCTCCAAATCAACTCCGAAATTCGGGGAATTAAATTCGACCACGCGTACAAGTCATAGTATCTGATGTGAAGCTATTCAGGTTTCAAAGTGTTGAATGATGCGCTAGAGCTCAAACCGACCGGTCGGGTCATTACAGTCTCTCCCACCTAAACATACGTTCGTCCTCGAACGTGATGAGAACCGCACCGGAGTTGTCCGAAATCACTGTTTAACACCTTGAGCACCTACCCGTGCTACCACAGCTCCGTTGAGCACAATATTCCCTTTCATTCAAACAAATAAGCTTAGAACCCAATTCCAACATCCGGAATTCTCTGGCAGGCCTGCTTCCAATATATGAACACCGTATCAATCACTTCACGAGGTACCAGAACTTGACTACATACCTTTGCTGAATTCACACTATGCACCACGTCATTCACAGAACCATAATAGCATTCTTTGATCATAATAGCCGACTTTCCCCGAATCTGATGCTCACAATGCACCTCATGATACATTTAAGTCTTGTTCCAACTCTTACAATACTGCCACGACGGAGGGGACGCGTAGAAATTCATAGTCAACAAATCATTGAGGCTACACTCCTGACAAGAACATCACCTCATTCTGAACCCAAATAATGATCTTTGCTTTTTAATATACTTCATACAATCCGACTGCACTGATCCTAGATCCAATAACCTTGTCTCACCCAATACGAACTACTCAGGCAACAAGTCACCCCAGACATGACCAAAAGCCTCATGTGATGCCACAATGTGCCAATAGGCTATCAACTCGAACGTGATACATAAGAAAAATGAACTCTGGAAGGGACTACTCAAACCACGCAACTAATACGAACTTTCCTCAAAAAATGGGAAAAAAACACATAAAAATAGATATAAGGAACTGTACCCAACATCACACTGTTGCGGCGTGCACCCCGATCCAAACAACATACCCGTGGCGACGTGCCACCCGATCCACACATAAAGTTCACATAAGAAGATACACTCTGAGCCAAATCGCTCATTACTACAAAATACCGAATATCGGACACAAGCACGCTAAGTGCATAATAACATCCCTAGGGAGACACATAGCGCCAAAAACTACGAAATCAAGCACAACTGAAGTGCGATATAAAATCTGAATCTCAAGAGCCATCCTGCTCACATAAAACCATCGCTACGCGGAACTTCAACACATAAGAAATTTACCAAGCCGTTTCACAACTCACACAACACAATATAGCATTACATGAAATAGCCGATGATGAATTAACATCCAACGTCCGAATACTCCTCCATAAGGAGAGCTATGCTGAAATGAACACATTCGGCCCGATATAGAGCCCTTAATCATATTTAAATCCATCCACAGACCTCAAGCCGATTCTGATCGTACCGAACTAGAAAAATGGGCTAAGTCTCGGGATAAAAAGCCCTGGGTTCCAGTCGCAGATGTTGCATTTGCAACATCCGGCTCGCAAATGCGATGGTCGCATTTGCGACAAATGCATCGCAAATGCAAAGCCAAGCCAAGCCAAGCCATCCCTGCCCAGGTCGCATTTGCGACCAAACTCTTCGCAAATGGGAAGGTGACAGCCTCGCAAAAGCGACCCTTAGTTCACAAATGCGAACCTTTCCCACAGCAGCCCACGCTCGCAAATACGAGCTCCCTCTCGCAAATGCGATGCTCGCATTTGCGACCAAAATACCGCAAATGCGGCCATACTAGTACCACCAGTCCCATTTCTTAGCAAAACACTCCGAAGCTATCCCGAATCACCCGATCCCTCGGGGCTCCCAACCAAACCACCCGCACAAGTCTAAAAACATAACACGGACTTGCTCGAAGCCTCAAATCACATCAAACAATGCTAAAATCATGGATCGCACTCGAATTCAAGCTTAATGAACTTTAAGATTTTAAATTTCTACTTTCGATGTTTAATCCTATCAAATCATGTCCGATTGACCTCAAATTTTGCACACAAGTTATATTCGACATTACGGACCTACTCCAACTTTTGAAATCGGAATCCGACCCCGATATCAAAAAGCCCACTTCCGGTCAAACTCCTCAAAAACCTTCAAATTTCTATCTTTAGCCAAATGACTCCAAAATGACCCACGGACCTCCGAATTCACTTCCGATCGCGCTCCCAACACTAGAATCACCATACGAAGCTATTCCCAGATTCGCAATCCCAACGGACATTGTTAACACTGAGATGCACTTCAACCCAAAGTTATGAAATTCTTCCAAAAATACTAACTTCCACAATAGGTGTCAAAACGTTCCTGGGTCTTCCAAAACCCGATCCGGACATACGCCCAAGTCCGAACTCATCATACAAACCTGTTAGAACCTTCGAATCCTGATTTCGAGGTCGTTTACTCAAAAATCTAATCTTAGTCAATTCTTTCAACTTAAAGCTTCCGAAAAGAAAATTCTCTCTCCAAATCAACTCCGAACTTCCCGGAATTAAATTCCGACCATGCGTACAAGTCATAATACCTAAAGTGAAGCTACTCAGGGCTTCAAACCGTTGAACGACGCGCTAGAGCTCAAAACGACCGGTCGGGTCGTTACTTCTTCGCCCATGTCAAGAGACCTCTGTGATGGAAGATATCGGGAACAGGTTTTTTCAACTTTTGTTGCAAAATTCCTTGCTTCAAGATGTTATGCTAGATGAGTACAACGATATAGCACACTGTAAGATGCATGATATTGTGCATGATTTGGCTGAGATATTTTGAAATCTAAACTATTTGATACGAAGAGCATTGGAGGAGAAAATCTTTCTCAAGTTCGATATTTTGGATGGGAGTCACCAAGTGATCAAATAGATAAGATCAATGAGCCTGGACGTTTATGCACATTGTTCTGGAAAAGCAGCAATATGGCTGAAGATATGCTATTGGGTTTTCAGTTCTTAAGAGTTTTAAATTTGTCCCGGTCAAGCATCAATGAGTTGTCAGCCTCAATCGGCAAGCTAATCTACTTGAGATATCTCGATCTCTCCCATACTAAGATCAAAGCCTTGCCCAAATCCATTTGCAAGCTCTATAATTTGCAAACGCTTAGAGTCAATGACTGCTCTTTTTGAGGATCTTCTAGATGAGATGGGAAATATGATAAGTTTGAGACACATATATTACGAATCATATTCTTGGACTCCACCAAGTTTGTGTGAAATATGGTCTAATGGTAAGGTGCACTTTCAGATGCCACTTAATATGGGGCAATTGACTTGTCTTCAAACGCTACAGTATTTCAATGTGGGTGCAGAGAAAGGTCATCGAATAGAAGAATTAGGTCATTTGAAAAACCTTAGAGGTAAATTGACGATCAATTGTCTACAAATGGTCCGTAATAGAGAAGAATCTGGAAGAGCATATCTACAGGAGAAACCAAATATCTGCAAGCTGGCGTATTTATGGTCCCATCGTGAACCAGAAGGATGCGAAAACAATGATGAGTATGTGTTGGATGGTCTTCAACCTCATGCTAACTTGAAAACCTTAGAGGTAGTTGACTACTTGGGGACTCGGTTTCCTTCATGGTTCAACGAAGAGCTGCTACCATATTTGGTCAAGTTGAAATTAAGTGGCTGCAAAAAGTGCAAAGAAATTCCATCGCTTGGCCAACTGAAAGTCCTTCGGCGTCTTGAGCTGGTAGGATTCCATAAGTTGGAATTCATTGGACCTGCATTTTATGGTGTTGAGGTTAATAATAATGGATCTGATGGGTTTTCAATGTCTTTGCCTTATGCTTCTTATGTTTTAATGATCTAACAAACTTATTATTAAGAACCAGATAGAGAACTTGACCCACTTGGTACACATTTCAAATGAACAATGTCCAGTCTGATCTCCAGCAAATGAACAACTACAAAGAGGAACACAACAGGGACCTGGTCCCTTAGGGTTCTCTGACAGAAGTACAAGTCAACTATACAGCTGGAACGCAACTCTAGAAAGTGACTGTCCGCAACTGTACACGCGACAGTGCAGCAGCTACTTCTCATTGGGAAGAAGCGTGTACCAATTGACATCACCATTGTGATGTCTTTTGTAGTATAACAACCTGGTGCAAGGCACACTATATTCATTTGAGCATTTAGTGATATTCTCTAAAGCATTAAAGTGTTGATCCAGCATTGAAGTCACAAGTGTGTCAAGAACAAGAAGACAACTCTACTAAAGGATCAGTTTCACAATGAGTCTATGTGTATCCGTAGTTGAGTTGTAATCTTGTTATTTGTTCTTCATTGTAACTCCTATCTTGCTTTCTTAGAAGCTGTGTTTTAGGAAACCCAAAAATCACAAACCCTCTAAGTTTATGTTGTGACTAGAGTTAGTCATAAGTTAAAGTCTTTGTAACTAGAGAGTGACAAAGTGGCTTGTGGTAAGAGTATCACAAGTTAGTTAAGTTGAAGTCTTTGTAATAGAGTCATTACAAAGTGACCTGTAATAGCGAGATTACAAGTTAGTGAAGTTGAAAGCCTACAAGTGTAGGTCGTGGTTTTTGTCCCCTTAAGTGAGATTTTTCTACGTAAAAACCCCGTGTCTCTTTTACTTACTGCTTCATAAGTATTCTCAGTAGAAACTCATAGAGGATCAGGTGCTCTATAATTTGGTGGACTCATATAAGCTAATAATTGGTATCAGAGCAGGTTCTTTCTAAAAGGTTAACACCTAGCCACCCAACTTTGAGGAAGGACGATCAACCTACAGACCTCCTAGATTCAATGGTCAGTACTACAGCTGGTGGAAGACTCGCATGCATGATTTTATAATGGCCGAAGATTCAGAACTATGGGACATCATTTGTGATGGTCCACATGTTCCTATGAAGCTTGGAGAAACTGGACAAATGGTGCCGAAAGACAGAAAGGAGTACAGTGATATTGACAGAAAAGCCGTAGAAAAGAACTATCGCGCCAAGAAAATCTTGGTATGTGGTATAGGACCCGATGAGTACAACAGAGTCTCAGCTTGTGATTCTGCCAAAGAAATATGGGAAGCATTGCAAACCGCACACGAAGGAACTACTCAAGTTAAACAGTCCAAGATTGACATGCTTACCACAGAGTATGAGCTCTTCAGGATGAAGGATGATGAGTCTATACAGGATATGCACACTAGATTCACATCCATCATAAATGAGCTTCATTCACTTGGAGATGTTATTCCTAGAAACAAGCTTGTAAGGAAAATTCTCAGTGTTCTACCTGGTTCTTGGGAGAGTAAGGTAAATGCCATCACTGAAGCTAAAGATCTACAAACTCTAACCATGGATGAGCCGATTGGTAATCTGAAGACATACGAGATGAAAAGAAAGAAAGACTATGAAAGGAGAGAGCCAAAGAAGGAAAAGAGCCTGGAACTCAAGGCTGAAAACAGTAATTCAAGTGAAGAAGATAGTGATATGGCCTATCTTACTAAAAGGTTTCAAAAGATGGTTTAAAGGAATGGTGGTATACCAAAGAGGGGCAGTTCAAGTAAGGCAAGGAACAATGATCTCTGTCACAAGTGCGGAAAGCCAGGGCATTTCATCAAAGACTATCCACTTCTGATATAGGAGCAATACAAATAAAACCCTGACAAAGCAGCAAAAGGAACTCGGTTCCAGACAAACGATTCAGTCGAAAAAATGCAGCTGACAATATTGTGAAGCAGATCCTTGCTGCTTGGGGATACTCCTCCAGTGAGTCAGAAAGGGAACCAGATGCAGAAAATAGCTCTATGATGGCATTGGAAATTGAAGCAACGAAATATGACTCACTGTTCGCGCTGATGGCTCAGTCTGACGATGATGAAGAGGATGAAAATGATGAGGTAAATTTCAGGGATGTTCAGAGAAATCTGAAATCCTACTCTTCTAAGAAGTTAAGGTCATTAGCAAATGTTCTAATTGATGCATATTATAGCTTTGATAATGATAAGGAGATCCTGACCATAGAACTAGGAGAAGCTGAACAATCTAGAGATGATCTGGTGGTCTATGTAGTGGACCTAAATGAGACCATAGCTAATCTTGAAAAGGAAAAGAAAGCTTTAAATGAAAAAATAAATAGTGTAGAAAATGAGAGAGATGACCTGATGGTAGTGGTTGTTGATTTGAAGGAAACCATTGAGAGACTCACTTCAGAACATAGGACTGTGAGTCTTGGGAAAGGGAAGGAAGTAGCTAGTAAGACACGCATCAAGCTTGAGAAGGAATTAAATAATGTGAAAACTAGTCTATGTAGGGAACTTGAGAAAAATAGGCAACTTCAAGCTGAATTGGAGAAAGTAAAAATTGATCTTGAGAAATCTCTGAAGTGGACCTGATCCTCAGATGCTGTCACTGCTATGTACTTCAACAATAGTGGAAACAGGCAAGGAATCGGGTTTCAAAAGGAGAAAACTCCCTACAACCCTCATAGCAAGTACGTCACTGTTCCTGATAACTGGCTGTGTACCCACTGTGGGGACAATGGGCACTTCAAGGAAAATTTCCAAGCCAGGGTTCAATATATTCAGAAAAACAAAGTGTTTACTGAAAAAGTGACTACTAAAGAGGGACCAGGTACCGCTCGCAAGAAACGAATATTGCCTGCATGGACTAGAAAAGCCCTTATCAATCCTTTTTCTCATAACAAGGGACCCAAACTAGTTTGGGTTCCTAATCTAACCCATGATTTATATGTGCAGGGAGCAGTGAGAAGAAGTGGACAGCAATGGTTCATGAACAGTGGATGCTAAAAACATATGACTAGAAACACCATGGACTGTCTCTCACTAAAAGCCCTGCAGAAAAGGGAATGTATCCTGTGTATATATATAAAAAAAGGGGGGGTACACTCTCAGTGTTGAAAAAATGGAAAGTCTATGTCACACTCAATTGAGAACGTGTGCCATGTGAGTTGCCTGAAGCACAGTCTCTTGAGTGTGTCTCAAATCTGTGATAAAGGGAGCAAAGTAGAGTTCTTATAAAAAATACGCATAATTACCAATTTGGTAACTGGTGAAGTGGCCTTAGTCGCCAAAAGAACAAGAATATATACTTCACTGACTTAAATCCCTACAAACTGGTGATATGAGCTGCTTAAAGGTTGTTGACAATGATGCAAAACCTTGGCATAAAGGATTGGAGCACTCAAGGCTCTCACTTCTGAATGATCTGATTCAAAAGAACCTAGTTCGTGGGCTGCCAAATTCAAGATCCACCTGGACAATGCTTGTTAGAGCAAAGGAAGAGACTTTTGAAGTATTTGCGACACTTGTCAGGAAGATCCAAGTGGAGACGGAACTGAAGGAAGCACGTATCAGATCTAACCACGGGATAGAATATGTCAATGCCAAGATTTGATGGGTCTTGTAATGGAAATGAGATCACTCACAACTTCTCAGCACCAAGGACTCCACAGCTAAATGGTGTTGTTGAAAAGAAGACCAAAACTCTGGAAGACATGGAATGGATAATGCTCATTGACAGGGGAATCGCCAAAAATTTCTGGGCGGAAGCAATAAACGAGGCTTGCTACTTGGTGAACAGGTGTATAATCAGGTCCCTCCTAAACAAAACCTCCTTTGAGTTGCTCAATGGAAGAAAACCAAAGATAACTCATCTTAGAACCTTTGGATGCAAATACTATTTTGTCAACCACGGGAAGGACCAGCTCGTGAAGTTTGATGTAAGAAGCAACCCTTCTGGGATACTTCCCTCAAAGCAAAGCGCACAAAGTCTACAACAAAAGAGCTTACTATGTGGAAGAAAGTGGTCATGTGATACTCAAAGAGACACCTTCCTCTAACAAAGGAGGGAATGGTGATGATCAAGACGATGAACCACTTTTGGTCCCTGAGAAATATCTGATGTTTCAATTGGGAAAGTTGATATGATGAGTTAGATGAAAGAGACATGTGAAGACAATGCAACATCTTCATTTACTACCATTGAAGCTAAAGAAACTGTTGGAGATGCAGTGCAAGGTATTCCACAAGTAGCAGAACAAGGACTGCAGGGAAATCCACTTAATTTACCCAGTCTCTCCACTAATCAAACTTCAGTCCCTACGTGGAAACACAGAAGCTCCCATCTATTTGATAACATAATCACTCCCCTTCATTCTGGATTTAGACAAGAATCAAAATCCAAAAAATTCCCTAGTCCTTTCTGTATTTCCATTCCAGAATAGAATCCAAAATCAAATCCCAAGGAATCTTACTTGAAGGCTGCCAAAAGAAGTTTGAGATACCTTAAGGGAACACAGGACCTGGTCCTGTATTACCCCTCAGGTGACAGTTTTAATTTTATTGGGTATGTTGATGCTAACTATGTAGGTTATCTTGTGGACAGGAAAACCACTTCTGGAATGGCTCACTTGCCATGATCGTGTCTCATCTCTTGGGGCACAAGGAAGCAAAACTCAGTGGCTTCTTCAACAACCGAAGTAGAATACGTAGCGGCAGCATCCTGTTGTGCTCAACCCCTATGAATTAAGCAACTGGAGGATTTTGGGGTATTTACTGATGGTATGCTTCTTCTATGTGACAACACCGGTGCACTCAACTTGATCAAGAATCCAGTTCAAAACAAGAGGACCAAGCACATTGAGGTGAGGCATTATCTTCTGAGGGTCAATATGGAGAAAGAGTTGATCTGTATAAAGTTCTGCAGCACAAAAGACCAAATTCCAGATATCTTCACCAAAGCCTTGAGTAGGGAACATTTTGGAAGAAACATGGTGAAGCTGGGGTTATTAAAGTCTAATAGAGAACCTGATTCTCCATCAGTTGGCTATGAAAATCACCTTCAGGTAAAATTAGCTAAAGTGTTTTCTGGCCAAGCCTAACTCACATCGATACCGTTGCAGGTAAACATGTGTGACGATCATGGAAGCCAAAGGTACAATTATGAACTGCGAAAGAAGAGCTGCTAAAATCTTTTTCAAAAAACTGTTCGGGCATCAGGTTCCAGTACCACAGGTCAGTAGTAATGTGTTATTTTGCATGCTTTCTCAAAAAGGGTTAACAAAATTAATTCAACAGCCGCATCATCCGACTTTTCAAAATCTGCATGTCATGTCTGGTCTTTCAAATCCCTTCATCCCCTCTGCACGATAACGTTTTCCCACAAACCTACCGCCGTTTTCAGGACTGTTCAGAACCCGTTTCTCTCTCTTCTCATCATTAGCCCTTCTTCTCATAAAACTTTTTTTCACTCTCACAGCAAGTCATGAACCTTCATCTTTTTTGTATCTCTGTGATCCTCTCCTCATCTCTTTTTCACTCAACTTCCCTATCAAATCCTCCTATAATGGCAATCGAATGATCACTTCCTTCTCCCACCATCAACACCACTCCTACTTCCCTATCATCCTTAAAGTCATCTCCAGAAATTCACTCTTCCACTATTTCCAATACTACTGCACCCGCACCTGTTTCCTCATCATTTCCTATTGTTTTCCCTTTCTGTCAAACTCTGTCTCCTTTCCATGTGTTGAAAACCTCATGTCTCCTCATTCCTCTAATCCCACCAAAGAACACTCAGAAAGGGTCACCTCTCAGGTGTCAGAGGTCTCTGAGGATGATCCTGATCAGTATCTGAACTCCTCTATTTTGGACTCAGTGGCTCTCACAGAGTCACCAGAAAAGGAAGAAACGCACAATATCATGGCTATCGCTGCTGAAAGTCTGTTGAATGAAATAACCTATCTCTTGTCTGAGTATCAAGGGGAAGAAACTCCATTCCTAGGCGATGAAAGAACCATGGTACTCTTCGAGTCTCTAATCCATGAAACTGTCCCAGAAAAATCTGCTAGAGGAACTGATTCTCTTCCAGATAAATCCACTCATGAACCTCTTGATTATCGTAAGTTCTTAGAATCCTCTCCCAAGTCATCCCCTATCAGGTTGCAGTAGAAAGAGAGGTTCGAGTCTACATTGCAGAAAAGTAGGAGGAGTGTCAAGACAAGGAAGAAGAGGTTGATGAATCAAGGGGAATTTGTTACTGACAAGAGCGTTCCAGTAGGTAGAGTTGACAAAATTGCTCTAAAAGAATCCGGTTCCTTAGCAGAACAATCTATAAAAGCCCAGAAGTCTGTGGATGAAGCTTCAGATGAAGCTGTTGAGAAACAAAGTGGAGCATCCGTGAAGGGCAGCAGCAAGTCTAAGAAGAGTCTAGTTGAGCAAGCTATGTCTGAAGATGATACTGTGGGGCTAGTAAGTTGGAAAGGGAAGTTTGATGAAGGATCTAGAAAACGAAAACGGGAAACTGTAAGGGAACCTGGTTCTCTGAAGACCATGCCAAGTAACAGTGTTCTTTGGTAGGAGAGATTAAGAACTCAGAAAGTCTTGTGGGGTCGTATGTTTGATCCAGCAATTTCAGAGATGGCTGGTATGAGGCAAATTCTGGAGATAGTGGAATTTCAGTAATGGGAGCACTTGTTTCAGGGTAACATGCCTTTGGTGTACGAGGATACGGTAAATTTCTACGCATCTCTCTTCACTGTTGAGGGGGATCACATCTGTGTGCTAGTAAATGGAGTAGACATTGTACTTGATGCTTCAGCATTGGGGAAGATTCTCCAAATTCCATGTGAAGGAATGTCCTCAGTCAAAGGTGTCTGTGGTGTCAACTTTAGGAGAGCTATCATGAAAGCAAGCTATTCAGCAGGGGGAACGTGTGCATAAGAAGGTATTACTCCCTGAGTATCAGCTTCTCTTTGAACTGGTCAATAAGGTGCTCTTACCTTGTTCTGAGAGGCGGTCTATTGCTACAAAATCTGATCTGGGCTTAATGGAGGCTCTTGATCAGTTTGTCCCAATCAATATGGCTTCTCGTTCTGAGAGGCGGTCTATTGCTACAAAATCTGATCTGGGCTTAATGGAGGCTCTTGATCAGTTTGTCCCAATCAATATGGCTTTCTCCTCACTCAAGTGTTTAAATTTTACAAGGTCCCCTTGGGTAATCCCAGAGTGGGCACACGCAAGCAAACCTTCTCTAAAACCACTCTAGAAGAATGCGAGTGCGTAGAAAGGGTTAGCGGAAGCATCTCGACCATTTCTCAGCTGATCAATGGTCAAAATGCAGCTTCTGAAGAGATCAGAAGGTTGAGGGCTCAGAATGCCATACTAGAAACTCAGCTCAGTCAAGCGGTTAAAGGACCTGGTTCCGTTAATAAAGAAGTTGCCCGCCTGACAAAGGAAAATGATAAGCTTCGCGCAAAACTGCTTGAAGAACAGCTGTCTACAAATGCCCGACTGGACCTGGTTCTCAAAACCCTTGTTGTTTCTCTTTCCCAGTCTTCCTCTTCTAGTGCCTCTTAGATACCCCCTAGTGACCAGTGTCTTCTGTTATGATGTTTTGTGGCTGTTGTTTCTATTTTTATTTGTCTTTTTGTTGATGGCATGCTGGATTTCACCATTAATGCTCCTGTTTTGCTCAGTCCATTGTTAATATCAATGAAACAGCTCCTCTTTTGCCTGTACAATGCTGTTTTCCTTTGGCTTCTCTTTTCTATCATGTTGTGTGCACATATGTGGCATGAGTTGGCTGTGTTACACTTCTTTATGTTGTTTGCCTGCTTGTGTATTTTTTAATGATGCCAAAAGGGGGAAGATACCAGATAGTGCATGCATTGTGATATTAGTGAGTAGTGTACGCACTATGATAGTAGGCGTATGTATTGTCAACGGGGGTTCAAAAGCAAAAGGTGAGGGGGGACTTGTGAAAAAATTGATGCAAAAACAGGGGATTAAGGGGGAATCAAAAGCAAAAGGTCAGGGGGAACTTGTGAAGTTTCTGGTACCTCATCTTGTTATTTCTGCTCTAAACAAATACTATCAATGCCTAAGTTTGTCATCATCAAAAAGGGGGAAATTGATGGATTTTCAATGTCTTTGCCTTATGCTTCTTATGTTTTGATGATCTAACAAACTTATTGTTAAGAACCAGATAGAGAACCTGACCCACTTATTTGTTAGATCGTCTCCACTGTAACCTTTTGTTCTTCGTGCCACTTGGTCAATATCCAGGCCAGGAGCTAACTGGCATTCATGTTGCAGATTATTAGTATCAACAAAATTTTCTGTAAAATCTCAAGGAGCAATAATAACCGGAGGCAAATTTACGGCGAGGTCTATGCCTCTATGGTTCAACTGGAGACATTACTTTCTGCTCAAAATTTGTATGCAATGCGAAAACAATTAAAATTTACACATAAAATGTTATCACGCTCAATTGGACCCACCAAATCTAAATCCTGGATTTGCCTTAGATGATTAGCAGTTGTCCGGCATATCTCATTAGCAGAGAAAATATTTGAGTTTGTTGCAAAAGTTTATGTATAAACTTCATATATATTGCAATCATCACCCTTCCTTATCTTTCTAGTAACTTAAAAATTCTTTTGAGATATAACCAAAAGGTCTCTTATTATTAATTTCTTCTTTTTTGACATTCTTTTTCCTTTTATACCTCATAATATTGTGTTCCTGTGATCTCAATAATCACTGAACTATAATATGCAGCAACATAGTATAGCTTACTTACTAGCTAGTTCAAATATTATGTATATGCACATTTTCTTTGTAAGTCAAAAATTTCCAGTGTGATCATAGTCATTCCTTTTTATTGACTTTGATCATCGAATCTATTCTTTGAGTAGATACATATGATGATAATATAGCAAATGAACTTCTTCTTACAAGAAAACGAAGCATAGTAGTAATAAGACAAGAGCTTACCACGATTGATTTTAAGTTTATCTTTATCAGCTCCTTACGGCTCTTAAAATCAGGAAGCGGTATGTAAATCCGTTTTTCTAGCCGCCTCCTACAGTAGTACAGTAAATCACCAATTAGACAAGATTCCAAATGGAACAGAACACAAATTAGAGTTACAAAAGCAAATATTGACTAGGAAGTTAAGGAGTAAATTTAACCTTAGTGCCTCATCAAGAGCCCAGGGGAAATTTGTTGCTGTCAAAACTACCACCGGTTTGCCTGCAGTATTATTAGTGGAGTTGTTTAACCCATCGATCTGAACTAGAAGTTCAGACTTCACTCTTCGGGATACTTCATGCTCTCCAGAAGCCCTAAGAAACAGGTTCAGAGTTGATGAAGTCCTACCACTAGAATTAGAACTAAGAAATTATAAGTTTAGCACGGGCAAGAACTTAATTATGCTCAAATTAACGTTGATTGTTGAGCACATGCATAAATGTTAGTGCGAGATGTATGCAAACACAAGAGGTAGGTGAAGGACAGAGGAGCAGGACGAAATATTTAGAGTTTAAGGTCTATGCATCGATGTTATAAAAATTATTTCACAATAATCAAGCTACTTATAATATAAATATCATAAATCTTTTTGATAAAACATTAATTTGTGACCTGATAAGATAATAACTAACATGCTATAGATATGATCTAGCAAATATCAGTTTAAAGTCACGGCGACCACCAATTGCACTGCTCAGACGCATTAATCGTTAGCTTGATACAAGTCTCTGTGGTCGAAAAACATAAACATGCATATGGATGGCATTATCAGTTCAGTGCAGACTAAGCTGCTCCAGTGAAACTAAAGTATGATTCAGTTTTGATAAAACATAAAGCCTCTAATTTCCTTCCTGCTAGGTATTCTTCTAGGGTTTCAAATTTGTTTTAACCTTCTCTTCTCTCTGAAGTTCCTATGCAAAGCTTTGGACAAGTAGAGGAGCGTCACATATTTAATCGGTAAAAGACAAAATCAAACTGGTCATGAAATTAATACTATACGGTACATCACAATCAAGTCCTATTAGATGATTGAAATCTAGTTTCTAGACGTCACAATGAGAAGTTTTATCACATATGGTAGACCCGAAACACACATCTATGCCTAGAAGTTTTATCACATATGGTGACGAAAACAAACCTTACACAACAGCAAGACAATGAAAAATATCCTCAGTTGTCACATGTGTATGAAATCACTTTAGAAAGAACAGATTGCTTACCTTCTGGCACTGCAAAGAGAATCAATCTCATCAATGAAAATTGTACTTGGAGCACGAGCACGGGCAAGATCAAACAAGCACCGCACCAATCGTTCACTTTCACCGTACCATTTTGCACACAACGAAGAACAAGAAACATTCAGAAATGTTGTCCCACACTCTGTAGCGACAGCTTTGGCCAAGAGTGTTTTCCCTGTGCCAGGAGGACCAAACATAAGAACTCCTCTCCAAGGTCTCCTGATACCCTGCAAGTAACACTGAATATGTGAACTATGTAGAAATTTCATAATAAGTATTCATTACTCTTTTATTAATGTGCCATGTAGTTACAACCTGTGCATAGCTGCAGCTCAAAAACTTATATATCAGCAACAAATTGCAACTTCCATTGGATAAAATTGTATCCTCGTTATGTGAAGACAAATATATGAGATAATTCAGGTTTCAACAGGAAAAACTATTCCCAGGTTATTTTCTTAATTATGTGCGAGGAGCATATCTACCTCTAATGAACAGTTTGTTATAAGGAAAAAGAAAAGAATAAATGACGTGTGTTTGATATGATGGAAGTCATTTTCCTCTGACGAAAACATTTTTTGGAAAACAGATAACTAACAAGTGTAAGTGGGAGTATTTTGATAAGAAATTGTAAGTAGTAAGATTAAATAATAATGTGTAAGTGTTACTTGGAGTGATTAATATGAAGTTAAAGTTAACATAGTTATAAAGAAAATGACACCATTTCCACACTATGGGAACACCAGAAAATGATGAAAGATATTTTCCAGAAATATAACTTCCGTTTTACCACACACACACTCATCGTTCTTTAGTATGCTTATATTCATAATCAACTATCTGCAGTACCTCGAAATATTGAGGCATCCACAGTGGGAGTACCACTGCTTCCTGTAAAAGCCTCTTTGCTTCATTCAGTCCTGCAACATCATCCCATCTCACCCGCGGATTAGTATCCAAGATCTCATTTTCAAGAGTCGCAGCCAGTTGAGAATCAGGCCCTTCATACACTCCTTTTGACTTAACGCCTTCCACAGCATTCTGATAGTTGTGAAAAAAGACGCTAAGAATATTACAAATAACTTCAAGTCTCAGCTTAGTAAAAATAGAGTAAAGATAAATTTAAGTAAATTATGAATTCAGAATCTGTATAACCAGTATTTAAATTCAGCTTTATCCTAGGCTCTCTACTCCTTCAGGGTAGGGGTAAGGTCTGCGTACACACTACCCTCCCCAGACCCCACTAGTGGGATTCCACTGGGTCGTCGTTGTTGTTGTTGTTGTTTATCCTAGCAACCAAAAGTTCTGGCTAGATGAAGGAGTGTTGTCACTACAGTCAATTTCACATATGGTTAATGAATTTTATTTACTGTAACATGTAAAGTCTGCCACTTCATATATTATATAAAAATAGAAATCTCATCCATAGTCAATTTGGCCTTGAAGAGCGAAGATTAAAGATTATTTACAATTGGAGTTTGTCAAATTATTTTGTCTTGTCATTTATGTCTAGATTATGGCTTAAAAAGCAACATTATCAAAATGTTCTCAAATAGTATTAAAGGCAGATGAGGTATTTGTACCACTTGTTGCACTGTGCTTCTGTAATTGTTCACCTGCCAACAATGCCGATTCTTCCTCCCCATAAAACTTTCATAAAAAGATCAAACTTTTTAACAAACCAAAAACAATTCAAGCTAGGGTGAAAGATTATTTAAGATTGGAGTCTCGCAAATACTTGCCTGAACTTGGTGTGTCGTTTTCTTCTTCTTCTCTATTGTCTTTGTGGGTGATAGACCGACCCTCTTTAAACACTACCACAAATATAAACATTAATTTAGGGTGGAAGTAAGTCTTAATTAAAAGGCTAGAGACTCGAGCCAATTATAATATTATACCTGCTGTTGCTGAATTGCATACGTATTTTCTTGGTGGAATTGGAGGGTGTCGAAGTCTCGATCAAGGTCACGTTTTTGTTGCTCATAAATGAGAGTGAAGCCACTATAGCATAGGACTTTATAACAAGCTAGACTAAAAGAGTAACTGCCGAGGTAGTCTGACAGTTTGTCCAGAATCTTTTGAATGTTGTTGTCCAATTCGGGTTCTACGGCCATGATCCATTCCAGCAGCTCCATCATGCTGAGATAGCCATCTTTGTTAGCGTCGAACTTGTCAAAGATTTTCTTCATCCTCTCCTCTCTTATGGGGCAACTAGATTTGGACTATGTCAAATAAATTGAAGTATTGTCAATATGAATAAGTATAAGCTTTGTGCAATATTGTCAGTCATACCAAAACACATTTGTGATTTGAATCAGCAACATTATAAAAATGTAAATATAAATTGAAGAATTATATACACCTACCTGATGCTGAATTGCATAAATAATGTTTTTTTTTTGGCTGGAGCTGGCCGACGGTGTCGAAGTCACGATCAATGTCACGTTTTCGGTGCACATAAATTAGGTTGAAGCCCACATAGTATAAACCTAGGGAACCTAATATATAATAGTTGAAATGGCGGAGGTATTCCGACAGGACGTCCGGAATCCTATTAATATTGTGATTCAATTCGGGTTCTACAGCGGTGATCCACGCCACCAGCTCCGTCAGGCAGAGATGCCCATCTTTGTTAGCGTCGAACGTGTCGAAGAGTTTCTTCAACTTCTCCCCACTGATGGGGCAGTTAGGAGCCACCATATCATCAAAGTAACGTAGTAATTAATAATTTAACACTAGTATATGCTTACTACAACAAGGGTGGGTAAATAAGTTCGGCGCGGCTTGCAACTTACGGGCAGAAAATTTGGGGTCAAATAATAAATAGAGTGTCACCCAAGGATATAAGAGCTTTACAAGGAGAAGGATTCTTCTCTAAGATTTGCTTCCCTTTTTTAATAAGTGACATTTTTCTTGCTATGATTCAAGTGCACCGTGAACAAAATAATTTTGTTTATATATTTAGAATTCAAATCTTCTATTATTATTATTATTATTATACTACTATATTAAAAGCACGAAATCCTTAGCGAAATTTCGTTTGCTTTTTTTACTCTTTAAAATTAAATATTATACTAGACAAAAGTGTCATTTTATTATTTTCCTAATATACAGAAGTTTTAAGTTAACTAAATTTTGGTAATATTGTCCTAATATTTCGGACTTCGACACTAACTAATATTTTGGATATAAGTATTTCCTTATTTGAACTTCTATGCAATGAGTCCTAACTCCTGAAGCATGCTCGAGGCATGAAAATTGATTAAAAAAAATATCATTTTTTTTTAGAAAAACTTAATATTGTAATTATGTACACTTAATGTTAAATAAAACTATTATAATTATATTAAATATTTTAAAACTTTATTAGGTTATGTATTTTTATTTGGATACTAAGCATGAAAACCTAATCAAACCTAATGAATATAACACTTGAGAAGTAAATGAGCTTGCATTTTCTAATTCTTTCTATTAAAATAAGCCATTTTTAGACTTTAAGTTACCCCTTATCAACTTTTCTAGCATAACGTCAACCTCTTCGTTTCAAAGTCAGTGAACTTCACTTTTTAAATTTATTTTATTTGATAAATCTTTGTTGATAGAAGTATTTATAAGTTTATTATTTATTTTTATATTAGGTCATAGAAACAATAATCATTTTTATAATTCCTATAGAAGTTCACATAAGTTACAGTAAGGCATCTAAGAACTTTTATGGGTAGATTTCTTTTGTCACGACCCGGATTTTCCACACTCGGGAATCGTGATGGCGCCTACTAGTGAAAGCTAGGCAAGCCAACCAACTGAACTATTTGACTTGTCTTCCATTTTTTTAATTTAGTTAACGACTTAGCACCAACAGTTTATAACAACATAATTTAACAAGCGGAAGAATAAATTTCAAGTTAATAGTACTACTAATACCATCCCATAACAAAACCACCCAAGATTTGGTGTCACAACTTCACAGACTGTCTAAGAGTACTACAAATAAGGGTCTGAAAGAAATAACAAAAATACCGTCTCTGGAACTACATAAGAGAAGCAGGAAAAATAGATAGAGGGAGACGCCAAGGCTTGCGGACGCCTGCAGAACTACCTCGGGTCGCCTGGTAAGCAAGAAGCTGAAACCTCACTGCGGTCCGAAATCTGCAGCACTGGGATCTGCACAAAATAGTGCAGAGTGTAGTATCAGCACAACCGGTGTGCTGGTAAGTGCATAGCCTAACCTCGGCGAAGTAGTGACGAGACTAGGACCAGACTACCAAATAAACCTGTGCAGTTATATAATATATAGCGGGAAATAAAACATAAATAAACAAGTAAAGATGGGAGGGGGTACATGTTGCGGGTTATATCAATATCAACAGTAAATCAAGAATAAAGGCATAAGGACAACTTAGAATTCACAACAAAACAATAAGGAAATTTGTATCCAATCTATGAACACTTTGTATCAACAATTGTTGCAGCGCGCAACCCGATCCCAACATATAACAACACTGTTGCGGATTGCAACCCGATTCGATTATATTATTGTTGCGGCGTGTAACCTGATCCAATCATATCATTGTTGCCGCGTGCAACCCGATCCAATCATATCATTGTTGCGGCGTGCAACCCGATCCACATATAATATTATTGCGGCGTGCAACCCGATCCAAATATGTCATTGTTGCGGCGCGCAACCTAATTCACACATGCAATCAACAACAACCATAACAAGAGTCCCGGCAAGGGATCAATAAGGAACTACACTATCCCGGCAAGGGAGAAACAGCTATAACCAAACTTGTTCCAACATCTAACTACCTTAGCTAACACCAATACTCGGTCATAAGTAGTTTCCATGAGAATAATCTGTTGGGTTTGTTATTTAATAAATAATAACAAAAGAGGTGTGAATGAAAAATGGTGGGAAAAGAAATGGAGGGATGACCCGCGACCCGGTCCGGTCTAGCCCGTTTTTCTTTCCCGGATTAATTTAAATTCGTTTTAAATTTCTCGCAAAAATTTCCAACAGCCATGGCTGTTCTGAAACAGTGTCACACCTATTCCAACAGCCATGACTATTCTGAAAAGTTGCAAACCTCGTCAGACTGTTCCAACAGCCATGACTGTTCTGAAAGGTTGCAAACCTGTTCAGAGGGTCACACCTGTTCCAACAGTCATGACTATTCTGAAAGGTTGGAAACCTCTTCAGAAACATCACCAAGTTGGCTATAAATAGACCTTCAAATCCCAGAATATTTACTTACGAAATTTTCTGATTATCTTCTTCTTCTTCTTCTTCTTCTTCTTCTTCTTCTTCTTCTTCTTCTTCTTCTTCACTAAAAATCCAGTGTGTTTTGCTGCCATCGAGTGGTTCGCTGATCATCGGCATTTTTGGTACCAACACTCCGGTGAGTTAAATCGTTCTATCCTGGGAGGATATATTCCATAACCTCGGGTACTTGAGGGGAATAATTTCCTTAAGGACACACTGTGTATTCAGTGGGCTCAATTTGTTCCTTCAACGTTTCAAAAATTATTTTGAAGTTCGAATATTATTTTTCAGAATTGTTTTTACTAACTTTCTGTTTTAGTTTTCAGAAAGATTACTATTTTATTTACTTACAGCAATACAGATAAATAACAATCTTAAGGAAATTATATTTATTATATTCTGTATTTTGTCTGAATTTTACTATTCTGATTTGAAGATATAAAAACTTCATCAGGGTATTGAAATTCAGAAAACGATTTGAAGAACATAAAAACTTCATCGTTTTTCTGTAAAATAGTATATAAAAACCTTAGTTGTTTTTATTACGTACTGTTTATTGATTACAGTATTATTTACTGTTTTGGTTTTGCCATTAATTGATTTCTTCTATTGTTGACAGTAAGAAATGGCAAATGAAAATGGAAATCCTTCTGCGACTGTTGGTGCAACGACGATAGCCTCGTCAAGCCGCACTGCTGTTCCTCCGGCTGAGAAACCGGGGAAATTTTCTGTAACCAACTTCAAAGGATGGCAGCAAAGGGTGTTCTTCTGGCTTACCACACTTGGTATGCAGAAATTCACTAGTGAAGAGCCTCCAGTGCCTGCTGCGGACATGCCGGATAATGAAAAGTTCATGGTTGTTAAGGCATGGTAGCAGGCAGATTTTCTTTGCAAAGGCTATATCTTAAGTGCTTTAGAAGATGACTTGTACAATGTGTACAGTGCAACGAATACTTCGAAAGAATTATGGGACACACTTGAGAAGAAGTACAAGACAGAAGATGCATGCTTGAAGAAGTTCGTGGTTGCCAAGTTTCTAGACTATAAAATGATAGACAACAAAACTGTGGGAACCCAATTTCAGGAGCTTCAACTTATTTTTCACGACCTTATAGCTGAAGGTATGGTCGTGAATGAATCATTTCAAGTAGCTGCTATGATTGAAAAATTGCCTCCTTCGTGGAGAGATTTCAAGAACTATCTGAAGCACAAATGCAAAGAAATGAAGTTGGAAGATCTTGTGATACGTCTAAAGATCGAGGAAGACAACAAAACAGCTGAGAAGAAGTCTCGTGGAAATTCAACGATCATGGGAGCTAATATCGTTGAAGAGACTGCTCCAAAAAGTAAGAAGAGGAAGAGGTCTTCTGGACAAACTAAGGAGCAGAACAAAAAGAAATTCAAGGGCAGCTGCTACAATTGTGGAAAAGTCGGTCACAAAAGCCCAGATTGTCGTCTCCCGAAAAAGGATAAGAAGAAGGTACAAGCCAACATAGTGGAGAAGAATAATGAGATTGATGATCTTTGCGCAATGCTTTCGGAATGCAATTTAGTTGGAAATCCGAAGGAGTGGTGGATTGACTCTGGAGCCACTCGACATGTTTGTGCTGTCAAAGAAGCATTTGCGACTTACTCTACTGCTGGTCCGGAAGAAGAAATTTCCATGGGAAATAATGCAACAGCCAAGATTGAAGGTTATGGGAAGATATTCCTGAAGATGACTTCCGGCAAGGTGTTAACGCTCAACAACGTTCTTCATGTTCCTACTATTAGGAAGAATTTAGTTTCTACTTCTTTACTTGTAAAGAATGGATTCAAATATGTATTTGTTTCTGATAAAGTTGTTGTAAGCAAGAACGAAATGTATGTTGGAAAAGGCTACCTCACGGAGGGCCTTTTCAAACTCAATGTAATGGTTGTTGACAGTATGAATAAAATTTCAGCTTCTTCTTATTTATTGGAGTCAAATGATTTATGGCATATTCGTTTAGGACATGTCAATTATAAAACCTTGCGGAAGTTAATTAATTTAGAAGTATTGCCTAAATTCGAGTGTAATAAATCGAAATGTCAAATAAGTGTTGAATCTAAGTTTGTAAAACATCCTTATAAGTCTGTTGAAAGGAATTCAAATCCTTTAGACTTAATTCATATTGACATTTACGATATGAAGTTGACACCATCTCGAGGTGGAAAAAAGTATTTTATTACTTTTATTGACGATTGCACTAGATATTGTTATGTTTATTTGCTTAATAGTAAGGATGAAGCAATTCAATAAAAAGATCAAAATGATTAGAAGTGATAGAGGTGGAGAATATAAATCTCCATTTGCAGAAATATGTTCGGAATATGGAATTATCTATCAAACTACTGCACTTTACACACCTCAATCCAACGGAATTGCGGAAAGGAAAAATCGGACATTAAAGAAAATGATGAATTCTTTATTAATAATTTTCGGATTACCGCAGAGTTTGTGGGGGAAAGCTCTCCTTACAGCTAACCGAATACTCAACAGATTACCCCACAG